AAGAAACTGCTACAGTCAACAGGCTTTGGGGAGGGAAGAGGAGGAGGTGAGGCAGCTGCACAATCCTACAGCTCCCTTTGTCAAAGTCCCACATCCAGCAACAAGCTTGAACCACAAGGGGGACTGTGATGCTCCCCAGCACACAAGCAAACTTCCAGTGCTGCCACGCTCCAAAGATGCCAGCTCCACTTTAATTGACTTTTGCAGACTTTTATTTCATGTCAGCTCCACAGGTTTATCCAACCACCCAAAATATTACTCTCCATGAGCAAGCGCACAGACGCACATCCAGCGCCTGCCTGTGCCATGTGCAAACCCAGTGCGCTTTTCTGAACGAATGCCTGCTCCCATCCCAGACCTTTGCCTCACCCCCCCCCGGCTTCCATTCAGACTGTTACATAAGGCAGGGCTTGCATGCAGGGAACCCAGGGAGCGTGCGTGAGTTGCGCTTCACCTCTTATTTTTGTTGCCATTTATGGGGAGAGCCACTTTGGTGTAGTGGTTAAGTGTGCAGACTCTAATCTGGGAGAACTGGGTTTGATTCCCCACTCCTCCACTTGCACCTGCTGATGTGACCTTGGGTCAGTCACAAGCTCTGGCACAGCTGTCCTTGAAAAAGAGCAGTTTGTGTCAGAGTTCTCTCAGCCCCACCCACCTCACAGGGTGTCTGTTGTGGGGAGGGGAAGGGAAAGGAGTTTGTAAGCCGCACTGAGACTCCAAGTGAAGGGCGGGGTATAAATCCAATCTCTTCTTCTTCTCTTCTTATTTAACTTTCTGTCATGCTGTGGAGGGTGAACGGCAGGAAAGGAGCTGCACGTATTTGGGTCAGCGGGTTAGGAGCTACCTGCTCACCGGAATTGGCAGGGCTCCTCCGCCCTCGGCATTCCGCACACGTTGCACCCTTCACATAAGTGTCAGGCTTTTCTCCTTGCCCACGCTGCTGCACACAGTGTGCCTGGCCCAGCCAGTTGTTCCATTCACATACTTACATAAGTGGGCATGTTTGGTGAGCCAGCCAGCGGCTTTCCACAGATGCCTGTGCTCACAGGCACTTCTCCTAGGCTGCCTGCAAGTGGGAAGCTGCTTGGCTGGGCTCGGGGAGGTGAGGCCAAAGAGATTCTGCCTGTTGCACATGAACAGCCAGCCATCTTTCCAGCAGCCCAGGTGGCAGAGGTAGCAGCCCAATGCATTCTGGCTGAAGGTGGCGGCGGCAGCAGCAGGCAGCGCGTTCCGGCCAAGCATGGAGGCCAAGGGCATCAGGCAGGCCCCAAGCAGGCTGCACAGATCTCAGGGCCAAACCAGCCTTCCTTGCCCCCAATAGTTGCCAACTCCAGGTTGGGCAATCCCTGGAGATCTGGGGCAAGACCCTGGGGAGGGCCCCTGTTGGGGAAGGGAGGCACCTCAGCAGGGGGTATAATACCCTAATATAGGCCGTTCTGGTCCACATTCGGACTGGTTTCCCCCCAATTGCTTGTGGGCTGGATAAGAGCCCTGAATGATCTGGTTCTGACCCCTTGGCTGTATGCTTGACATGTCTGCTATAGAGCCTAAACTGGTCTTCTCTCTCCACTATGGACCTGAGATGGGGCAGAATTGCTGCATGTTTCAGTTCAGGGCAGACGAACACAGAGTTCTAACCCTTTACCATGCATTAATGACCCCAACTGTCCCAAGAGAAGCCTGATTAAACCTGCTAACTTGTAAATAGCCCATTTGCTATAGGCTTTCCATTCCCCCACTGGGGGTGGGGGTTTGCCCGCTTTTGGGCCCCCTGATCTGCCAGTCCCCGGAGGTGACATCATCATGCAGGGCAAGCTGTGGGAGGATGCTCTATCATTCGAGGAAAAACTATGATTTTTCCTCGGACAATAGAGGCCCCGCCTACAGCGTGCCCTGTGTGATGACGTCATTTCTGGGTGACATCATTGCGGTGCACATGCAAAGCGCGTACGCCGAAGATATCCCAGAGAAGAACCCCCCTGCTGGCAGCCAGCTAAGACCTGGCCACCCTAGTTTGTTCTTACCCTGATGCGAAGAAAGGATAAGAGAATGTGACCTATTTTGTTTCTGTTTTTATTTTCTCTTGGTGGTTTCCATTCTCTGCTTTTCACGGGTGGTTTTGTGGATCAGTTTGATTTGTGCATGGATGCTATATGGTTTATAGAGGCAATGCATACTGTTTATACATATGATACACGCTTATTTGACAGTGTGCAGATAATACTGAAAAAAATGCATGCAATTTATGGGGGAAAGACGGTGTAAATGAGGACAGGCTGCTCCCGTTCAGGGGTGCGCATGTTCTGTTGCAGCAGCAGCAAGCAGCATGGAAGCAGGTGGAGTGTGGTTGTCAAACCTCCAGGTGGAGGCAGGAGATCTCCTGGAATTAGAACTTATCTCCAGACTACATAGACCACTTATTTATTTATTTACTTACTTACTTATTTAGTTGTTTGTTTGTTTAAAGAAAATGGCCGCTTTGGAAAGTGGATTGCCTGGCGTTATACCCTACCAAGGTCCCTAACCTCCCTAAAGCCCACTTTCCCAGGCTTCACCCTCAAATCTCCAGGTATTTCTGAACTCGGAGTTGGCAACCTTAAGTAGGGTTGGCAGCCCCGGGTTGGGAAATACCTGGAGGTTTTGGGGGTGGAGCCTGAGGAGGGCGGGGTTTGGAGAGGAGGACTGCAGTGGGGTATAATGCCATAGAGTCCACCAGGGTTTTTTTTTGTAGAAAAAGCCCAGCAGGAACTCATTAGCATAATAGGCCACACCCAACAGCAGAAACTCATTGGCATATTGTCAGCAAGCTGCCATGGAGTTCTGTGTAACTGTGTATGCTTCTTGCGTGAGCTGATCCACCACCCCCCTAGAAGAGTACCAGCTTGTACTTCTACTGTGCTCATTAGGTAAATGCCTTTCCCCATTTGTTAGGGCTGCTTTGGAACTTAGAATAATGCCCAAGGTCGAATGCTGGAGGATGGAAGGAGTTTTGTCTTTGCTTTGATTATAATGTGCTAGGGCTTGGGAAGCGAATTAGTGTTTATGTTTCAGACCGTTTGTTCCCAGGGGTTTTGGGCGCCTATTTCACCTGCTTTCCCGCACGCGGGAAAAGGACCCATTGGCCACGGCCTGGTTTGAATTTATTTATTATCTTGTACCCCAGAGGTAGTCTCCATTCTTAACAATCCTTGTGTACCTGTTTTCACCATCGCTTTAATAAATGCTACTTTGCTACAAACGTGGATTTATTTGAATGCCTGGGGGAATCGGACACATATTGGACCACAGCTCTGACAGCACAGCTCATTAGCATATTAGGCCACACCCCCATGTTACCAGAAGTGTGGTCATCCAGCCACGCCCACCTTTTGCTTCTTATTCTGTTGACCTTGTTTGTGGTCAAAACCCAGGGCTTTTTTTGTAGCAGGAACTCCTTTGCATGTTAGGCCACACCCCCAATGTAGCCCATTCTAATGCGTTTCTGCTGTTGGGTGTGTCCTATTATGCTAATGAGTTCCTGTTGGGCGTGGCCAACTTGGGAGCCAGCCAGAACTCCGTTCCTGCCCAAAAATAGCCCTGGAGTCCACCTTCCAAAGTGGCCACTTTCTCAGAGGAAGCTGATCTCTGTCTCCTGGAGATCAGTTCCACCTGGAGGCTGGCCTCTCTACCACACGGGGAAGACCATCCTCATGTGTAAGAAGCAAAAACAAAATCATGGGTTCTATGAACACAAAGGAGATGCAAAATCTCAATGGGGATTTTCAGGTTAAGATGGCCGGGATGAGAAGCCCACCTGAATCCATCAATATCTTCCCTAACTCTAAGCCACTCAAGGTATTCTTTCATGCTAAGTAGGCTGTTAGCAGCTATTTTGGACTGGGGAGTCAGGAAGGAAAGCAGATAATCTTAAAAAAATAAAAACCACTCGGTCTAATGATCCCTTTTGTCCTGTTGGCTCAGACTATTCAGGAGCATCCAAAAAGCCAGATCTACAAATTGGACAAAACTAGCTGTGGAATAGCAGAGGTTGTTCCTGAAGCCTGTGACTCATTTATTTTTTAGGTTTCACAGCCCAAAGAAACCAGCTTTGGATCAGTAGTCCAAAGCCAAGCAGGAAAACAACTCTGATCTATAAATCCCCAAGCTGTGTCCATGATAATCTGTAATAACACCAAGGAAAAGGCTACTATCTGGGAACCAGGCCTGATCCGGAGTCTGAATCTGATCTAGGGGCTGAATCTGATCTAGACGACATGAAGGCCCTCAAAGAGGGAGGGAGGGAGGGAGGGAGGGAGGGAGAGTGAGAGAGCCTGTTGTCACTCAGAAGCCACATCTGGGTCCAAGCAAATGGAGGGCTTCATTATTATAAGCAGGTGCTGTGGTAACCCACCAATACCTGTCCTGGTGCCTGCCAAGTGTTTTTAGGAAGTGAGTGGGGCCAGGTGGGCCTTTTCCCAACAAGGTTTCTGATTGATCATTGGAGAACTGGTTGGCTGTGCACATTAAAAAACAATGTTTTGGCGGCAGCCGCCACCACCACCACACAAGGATCTTCACTACACGACTGAAGGTAAACCGTGCCTAAGCAAGAAAATATTTTTAAACAGTATGTTCATTTTAAAAGGCATGCTGTCAAGCAGAGCTTCTGCCTGACAGCCTGAAGCGTTACTACTAGAGTTATGCATAACGCAACTCCTTGACATTTTGTGGTTGGCTCTGCCTCCTCTGGCAGTCATTTTGTAGCTGTGCTCACCACCGTGTGCTGAAATTGCAAAGGTGCCTGCAGGCTCAAAAAGCTTGGGGGATCCCTGCTCTAGCCACTATACCACACTGGTTTGCTCAGCTTAACCAACATCAACATACACATCTTCTTTCCATTAGACATCAGAGACAGCTCTAATTTTAGAAAGTGTAGCTCCAAAACCCAGAGGGATTTTGGAGATTTTCAGTTTGAAATCCCATTTCATCCCTTCCTCATTTCCCACCATGCTGTTCCTCACCTCGTAAGATGGTGACATTCCGGAGGATCTCCCCGTGTTGGGTGTCAACAGTCTTCATCTCTTCCATGATCATAGAGAGGTTGCGGATGTCAAAGTCCAGCCGGGCACTGAGCAGACTAAAGCGTTCCCGTAGGAGGTCCGTGGTACTCAACATGAGGCTGACCGATTTGTTGAGATAGTAGAGCTCCTCAGCATGTGTGTGGAAGCCCAGCGTGCAAGACAGCCGCACGTCGTCCAGGTACTTGAGCATGCTGTGGACGTGGCTGTCAGTGGCATTAATGTTGGTGAAGATGGTGTTGATTTCAATTTCATGGGAGGTCATGCGGCCTTCCAAGGTTTCAAAGCGCTCGGCTGTCCGGTTCTGGGTGTACCGGGTGTGGTACTGAAAGTCATGCATGTTTTCCTCATGATCGTCCAGGAAGGAGGAGATGTTGTCTAGCTGCAACTGCAAATTCATCACCTGGAGAACCAGGTCATGCATCCCTTCCGAATTCTGGCTGATCCTTTGTGAAGCGATACCGAGGCTGGTCTGGATGCTCTTAACCAGCTCCCCCGTTTTGGCCGAGGTCACCCGCAAACTGCCAAAGATCCGGGTGTAGTTCTGCCACTCGGTCATGATCTTCTGCAGCGTCAGCGTCTCCTCGTCCGTCTTCCTCTGGATGATGTGCATCCAGTCGGAGGTCTGCCCCACAGTGAAGTTCATCTGCTGCACAGCAGCCTCAATGTCAAACCGCTCCTGTGACAACTCCTTCAGTGAACTGCCCAGCTCAGAGGTGGCTGCCTGCCAACCTTGCACTTGGGCCAGGAAGAGGCTCACACTCTGGTTGACCTGCTGAATGGCCGAAGAGCAACCATCCACCTCACCGGTGATCTCTTTGTTGGTGGACGAAAGCTTTTGGTGGGCTTGAGCTGTGCGGTCGAGGAGCACGTCCTGGGCTAAGAGTTTCTTCTGGATCTCCTCCAGCTCCTCCTGAAGTTTGCTGATCTCCTGGCCCAGCTGGCCTGTGTCATGGCAGAAGGAACAGTTGCCCGGGGAATTCTGATCTGGACACAGAAGAGTGGGGAGAAAGAGGAGGAAAGGGTGGTTTAAAGGACTGCAGAGACATAATGCAAGATCTATAATGATGGCCTGGAGCAGTGGACAGTTTCCTGTGTTCCTGCTAGGGCAGCCAGATGACATATATCAACAGGGAGCTGGATTTAGCCCCCCACTTATAGTCCCCAGCATCACAGAGAGGACTCTGAGTACATTGGAATTTCATCAATGCATATACAACACAGTGTTCTGGGGATCTCAGCTGTGTTTTTGTTTGGCAGCAAGATTCTAATTGCAAAGTTAGGCTTGAAAGCCTACACAGCTGTCTATCACATTTTATCTCACCCAGGGGTCATTTGGGGGGGGACGCGGGGGGACGCCATCCCCCCGGGTGAGGTGCGGGAGGGCGGGGCCTGGAGCTCCATGCTGGTGCCCACTGGAGGTCGCCGCCGGCTGTGGGGAGGACACACTTCCGGTGATGTCAGGGGGTGTGGCATATGCTAATGAGTTATGCTAATGAGTCCCCCTAGCTCTTTTTCTACGAAATGACCCCTGATCTCACCCATCCCCATAGTAACCATAAACCATGCATTTTACCCTTATAACGAAAGCATGAGGTGGATTAAGGTAAAAGATAGTGCACTTTTCTGCATTCTGATTTTCCTTGCTTGTAAATTGCTGTTTCTTTGGATTTTCCCCTCTGTTCTGCATGTGTTTTTCACCCCCCTAGTGGTCAATTTGATATCACACCGGATTATGTCCAACATAAAAACTTGCAGTTTAAATCTATAGGGAGATAAGGGGGACATAAACCTATGTGATAGCGAATTGACCACTAGAGGGAGAAAAACACATGTGGAACAGGAACGTACAAGTGAGGAAAATGAGAGCGCAGAAAAGCCCAAACTGCAGGTGTTTATGCCTGACATAAACCTGTGTTATATCAAACTGATCACTAGCGGGATCAAAACTCATGCAGATCCGGGGGGGGGGAACCCTTAGAACTTACAAGCAAGGAAAATGAGAATGTAGGAAAGCCCAGGAAAGGGCTCAAGACCATCCAAGTAACCTGCATGATTTGAACCCTGGTGTCCCAAGTCTCACGCTCTAACCACTATAGCAGCTCTCTCGGGCTGCCTTATACTGAGTTTGACCATTGGCCTGTCCTATGCAATACTATTTGCTCTGATTGGCAGCGTTTCTCCAAGGTAACAGAGAAAAGGAAGCTTACCCCTGCCCTAACACTCCTTAGCTGCAGAGGCAAAGAACTGAACCTGGGACCAGAACTATAATAAACAGGCCTTCTACCATGAAGCAATGGCCCCTTGTTGGATTGTGTCCCATACACACATATAAAGCGGCAAACAATGAGATGGTCACAGTCCAGAGAACTTACAATGTATGAATCATACAACTGTGATGAAGAAGCATTCACAATTATTTATCTAAAGATGTTATACAAAACATTAATTTCTGAATGTGATTATTACAAGAATTAATACAATAGAACAGAAGCGAAAAGGTGGGACGGTGGTCTCCAGATTGGTGCTGCCGTTTCGACAATGTGTCTTCTTCTGACCAAAAATTATGTATAACATCTTTAGATAAATAATTGTGAATGCTTCTTCATCACAGTTGTATGATTCATACATTGTAAGTTCTCTGGACTGTGACCATCTCATTGTTTGCCGCTTTATATATTGGTATTATGGCACAAATTAATACTAGGTTTACTTTTTCTGAAAATGATAAAGACAGGATTTTTGGTAATGTACCTCGTCTTAGACAGAATGCAGGAGTGAGAAACCCTTCCAACTGGACTCAGTTTGAATATCTATGTAAGAAAGACATTCGCATGACCTCACATGCGTCCTCCCTTATGGAATATTGCCAATCGGATAATATTCCAAGAGGTCTTAGAATTCAAAAGGGCCCTGCCATGTTCTTGGACAAGGAGGACTTTAAGAACAAGTGGACGGCAATATTGAACAAATGTTCTTATGACTTAATGTTCTTAATTATTGAACAAGTCTCCACTGAGTCCGTTTCTATTAAGGGAGAGATAAGTGAATTAGAGGAGAAATTAAAAAGTGAGATGACATCTGAAACTTTTGAGAATTAACTTAAGGTATTCAAGGAACAGTTGTCTGTATATGAAGACAGTATAAGGGAAACTAAGATCAAGAAATTAGATAGAGATAACAGAGATTATGCCCAAAATAGGGTATATAAATGGCATACCCCTAATTTCAACAATACAAGGAGAGTCACTTGGGCGGACTCCCATGCTTCCACATCAGAATTTGAAACAACTGAGGCTGAAGACTCAGCCACTACATCGGGGGATGTAGCCAGGAGATCAAAAATGAGGGCAAAGGAATATGTTCCACAAGGGAAGAAAGGGAGGAAAAGGACTTAGTTATTAATCTTTCTAATATTTCAATTTCGTCCAATCTTAGACAGGTCCTTAATTTAGGACTAGGATTTACAATGACTTCCAGATAAAATGCTTTTCATACTAGAATTGATCTATTTAAACTGACCAGATTATTAAAGTTATTCTTTGGCAATTCAGACTTTGGCACTGTTTTTTCCTTAAGAAACAAATCCACCATTGTTCCCTTCATCAATATACCATCCATCACGGTGTTTGAGAGACGGCTTCTAGAAGACATACAACATCTAGAGGCACACAAAAAATGTCTCAAATTTAACCTTACCAGAGAAGAATATAACTCTCTAAAAGACTTAGGTAAAGATTCATCAGTAGTTGTTAAAGGGGCAGACAAAGGTGGAGCTATGGTCCTCCTTAATAGGAAGGACTATATACAGGAGGTTACAATTGTCAGATATTAATTTTTACAAACTAATTTCCCATGATCCTACTAATGAGGTATTAACCATTATTAGAACAGTGGTAAGGGAAGGATTTACAGTAGACTATATTGACAGTAAATTGGCAAATTGATTAATGAACAGCCCAGAGTTCCCATTTTTTACTGTATCCCTAAAGTGCATAAGTCTTTGATGGCACCACCAGGGAGACCCATTGTTTCAGCGGTTAATTCCATCTTTCAACCTCTATCACAATATTTAGATTCCATTTTGAAGCTGTTTGTAGTCCAAATACCCTCTTTCCTGAAAGATACCAAAGATTTTATATCTAAGGTTGAGGGTATGCAGATACCCAATCAAGCTGTCCTTATGACCATGGATGTTAAGTCCCTTTACACGAACATTCCTCACGAGGAGGCCCGTTTAAATCTCATTGATATATTTGAAAAAAGAAATAGCAAATTCCCCCCGACTCATTTTTTGATTGATCTAGTGGACATTATTTTTGAGAAAAGTTTTTTTTAGGTTTCAACAAGACTTTTTTTGGCAAATTAAAGGGGTGGCCATGAGAAGCGCATTTGCTCCATCAGTTGCTAATTTGTTTATGCAACATTTAGAATTGCAATGGATTAACAACAATAACACTAATCCTTATTTTTCCCACATTCTTTTGTATAAGAGATATATTGATTATGTTTTCCTTGACTCAGGAGAAATTGTGACAGAATTTGTGAATTGGATTAACACCATTCATTATTCCATCAAATTTACTACAATTAGCGACCAACAGCAAGTACATTTCTTAGACACTACGGTGTTTGTTTTCAAGAATAGATTGGCGGTACGCCCATACAGAAAGGACATAGATAAGAATTCTTATCTGCATTATTCCTCTTCACATGCAGCCCATGTTAGAAACAACATCCCTTATGGACAATTTTTAAGATTAAAAAGGAATTCCACCATTGAATCTGATTATCAAATAGAGGCAGATAAGATGCAAAATGATTTTTTGGATAGGGGGTATCCACTCCACATTGTGAGGTTAGCACGTCTTAGAGCCAGTAAGAAAATTAGGTCTGACCTATTTCAGGAAAACACACAAACCCTCTAGTAACAATATATGCTGGGCTATAGACTACAGTTAATTGGCATATTCCATCAAAAGAGTTGTCCTTAAGCACTGGCACATCCTAAACAATGCACCAGGATGTGAGAACAAACCCTTCATAGGTTTCAGAAAAATTGACTCTATTCGTGACATCGTAGTCCATACTGATTTTAAAAATGACACAAGAGTAGAGACTAACCCAATTGGCCACTTTAAATGTTCAGGATGCGCAGCCTGTCCATTAAGCTGGGAAACCAAAGTTGTAGAATTACCAGACATTCCTTTGAGCTTAAGAGCTTCTCTTCATGTGCAACTAAGCGCACAATTTACATGGTGATATGTGCATGTGGGCTCAGATACATTGGGGAATCAACGAGATCTATTAAAACTAGGATTTTTGAACATAAGTCCAAAATTAAACATGGACATTTAAAAGCTCCTCTCGTAGATCATTTTAATTCAAAAGGACACAGATATGATGAATTTAAATTTGTAGTTGTGGAAGTCATTAAACCCAATATATATGATAGAAAGGACATTAAAAAGATTCTTTTGAAAAGAGAGGCTTATTGGATTTTCAAAATAAATACAGTCTACCCACATGGTTTAAATGCATCTTTAGATTTAGGATGCTTTTTATGAATGTGGAAATTTGGCAACTATAGTGTAAGTAACTTCAGGATCAGTTTTTAAATGGAGGTGATTCAGCTCTTATAGCAATGCAGCTTAAAACCTGTTCAAGTTTTGACTTCAGCCCTCTTGGATTCAGGATGTTTTTATGTATGTGAATATTTGGCAACTATGGTGTAAAGTAACTTCAGGATTAGTTTTCAAATGGGGGTGATTTGTATTTTATAGAAGAGTTAGAAAACTCATGAGTATGCATCTTTTTGTTGCTTGAAGAACTCCATACTTCGCATTGACTAAGAAAATGTTTTCAATTATCAAAATTAGACGATGTATTATTACCACTGTTTTTTAATAGATTGTACATAATTTTGAATTATTTATAAGGGCACAATTTTTGGTCAGAAGAAGACACATTGTCGAAATGGCAGCACCAATCCGGAGACCACCGTCCCGCCTTTTCGCTTCTGTTCTGTTGTATTAATTCTTGTAATAATCACATTCAGAAATTAATGTTTTGTATAACATCTTTAGATAAATAATTGTGAATGCTTCTTCATCACAGTTGTATGATTCATACATTGTGTCCCATACAGCCAGAAACATCTATTTAAAATAGCTGCCATCCCTTTTTTTGCTTCAGTGAGTCACACATGTGCTGATAATTTGCAGGCGCTCGTAAATTTCATCCAGCATTTGCTGACTGATGAAACTCTAACCACAGTTTGCTGATTGTCATAAATGATTTCACTCACAAACAGAAAAGAGGCTTTAATTTCTTGCCTAACAACGAAACAGATGTTTTGCACTTCACCCTGAACTCTGTCTCAGAGAGGTCTTCATGTTTGTTTCCTGGAACTGTATTTTATATTTTGTAATTGTTGGTTTTAACTGAATGTTGGTTTTAAATTGATTGTAAGCCGCCCTGAGCCGCTTCGGCGGGAGGGCGGGGTAGAAATTTGGTAAATAAAATAAAAAATAAAATATCTTGCAGATTTTGGCTAAATGTCAATTTTCATGCATAGCAAAGATCAGCAGATTTGCCCCAGGTGGTCAACACAAAGATCTTGAGCTGAAACTTCATTCATTTATTTATATGGTTTTTATCCTACTGACCTGCTCCAGTGAGGACCCAGGGAAATTTAAATCAAGAATATATAAAAATATAGAATATGATATAAATTAAAATATTAATAGCAGCAAAGAAGCAGTAAATTAGAAGCAGCAGACTAAAAAGATCAAGATCACTGAAAAGCAGTGAGACAGAATAAATAGCAGTGCATAATATTTCGGAAAACATCCTAGCAGCATTCCAAGAAACCTCCAAAAGAACATCAGTGCATTGAATCATGAGTTTCAAAGGCCTTTTGGTCTGGAAAACCAGAGGTGTGAAAAAGATTTTCCTAACAGTTGACACGGCCTTATTCTCAGACTGCTGGTCCACCTGGCTCAGTGCTGTCTGCTCATGAACGCATGAAGCTGCCTTTGTACTAGCCCTCTCCAGATGGCATGGTGCAGGTTGAAGTCAATGCATGTAATGGGGCAGTGGGTGCATATGCATTCCCCTGCATGATCACAGGCTTGTGAGCATGGAGTCTACATGAAGAGGTAGTGCGTGCTCCAAAGGATGGGAGTCTACACATGTAGACTCTGTGCTCACAAGCTGGGAATCCGAAGGGGGCAGTGCACAGGCGTCCACTCCCCTTCAATGCCCGTAACATCAGCTCAAAAGTCTGTTTCGACTGGCTGCGGCTCTCCAGGATCTGCACATCACTTGCTATCTTGATTCTTTAACTGGAGATGCCAAGGACTGAACCTGAGACCTTCTGCATGAGAAGCAGATGTTCTAACACTCAGCCATGAGTTCCAAACCCCTCCCCCCCGCTCTGACTGGGTTTCAGGTAGAGAAAAGCCTTTCACAAATCCTGTTACTCAAGCTCTGTTATGTATGTGGACCACCTCCAGGGGTCCGCAGAAAGGCCAGAGCTTGGATCTGAGAACAAAAGAAACCTCGGATCCTGGATCCCCTAGCCCCAACCAATAGCCACCTTGGCGGGACATTCAAACCCTCCAATGAGAGTGGGGGGGGGTGTTGCTGGTGGATATGTATATAGTTGGCCCTGTTGGCCGTTAGTCTTTAGTCTTGTCTATGTGAAGTACAATAAACGTGTGCTGCAGCATGTTGTCGTCCGAGTCCTCCATGCGGCGAACCCAGTACTTTTCAAGCTCCTTTAATGAGGTGCGGTAAACTGAACCTGGGACCTTCTGCATACCAGGTACAGAACCTACCACAGAGCTACAGCCCTTGACGTTTGCGCTAGTGACGAGAAAATAGCCCCAGTTATGTCCTGGACCACAGCACACCCATGTCTGCCCATAACATCTGCTTCATGGAATGATATGAACTAAACTGGACTCCTGGTGGGTGTAAAGCCATCCTAAGGCTTTATCTTGTTTGGAATAGTCTGGCAGGAGGAGTTAGGCGAAGGACTCCTGGTGGGTGTAAAGCCATCCTAAGGCTTTATCTTGTTTGGAATAGTCTGGCAGGAGGAGTTAGGCAAAGGACTCCTGGTGGGTGTAAAGCCATCCTAAGGCTTTATCTTGTTTGGAATAGTCTGGCAGGAGGAGTTAGGCGAAGGACTCCTGGTGGGTGTAAAGCCATCCTAAGGCTTTATCTTGTTTGGAATAGTCTGGCAAGAGGAGTTAGGCGAAGGACTCCTGGTGGGTATAAAGCCATCCTAAGGCTTTATCTTGTTTGGAATAGTCTGGCAAGAGGAGTTAGGCGAAGGCCTCTCAGGCCCAAGGGAAATGCCCCTTAGCAGAACAGATCTGTGGGATCCAACTGAATGTTTACTTATTATTTACTTAGTTCATTGACACCCCACCTTTCTTCCCAATGAGGACATAAAGTGGCTTACATTGTTTTCCTCTCCTCTGTTTTATCCTCACAATGACCCTGTATGGTAAGTTAGGCTGGGAGCATGTAAATGGCCCCAGATCACCCACCAAGCTTCCAGGGCAGAGTGGGAATTTGAACCTGGGTGCGGTGGCTCAAGTGGTTAAGATGCTGAACTGCAGGTTGTGGAAGGTCAGTAGTTCAGCAGTTCGAGACCCGAGTGTGCCGCATGACGGAGTGAGCTCCCGTCTCTAGTTCCAGCTCCTGCCAACCTAGCAGTTCGAAAGCAAGAAATTGCAAGTGGATAAATAGGTACCACTTTGGTGGGAAGGTAACAGCGTTCCGTGCGCCTTGGTGTTTAGTCATGCCGGCCACATGACCACGGAAACGTCTTCGGACAGCGCTGGCTCTTCGGCTTTGAAACGGAGATGAGCACCGCAACCCTAGAGTCAGATTCGACTGGCTTTCGAGCAAGGGAACCTTTACCTTTACTAGTCTGATATTCTAACTGCTGTACCATGCTGGCCCTTGGGATTTCATTTATTTCTTTACTTGCATGCACTCAATACTGTAAAGAAATAGTTGGCTTTTCCAGTCTATTGCCAATTTTATAGACCATTCTCTCCCAGGAGGCTCATCTTTGTGTGCCTTCTAGTAGCTAATAAAAAACTGTCGTCTTCTTTCTAAGGCATTGTAATTTTTTTTTAATCACTACTTGCGGTTATTCTCAGCTGCTACAGTGGGCGATCGGCACACTCTTCTTGCTTTATAGCAAATTTTAATTTTAATTGGTCTATCAAGTGGTTTTTTTAAAAAAAGCTACATGTTGCCTTGTGAAAACAGTGGATCATTGTGGTGAGGAAAAGAAGAGTGGAGCTTTGGGTCCTCTTTGGCTCTGCCCCTTGGGAAAGTTAGTTTGCTCTCCATCTTGTGGGTGATCTTATGGATTCATTCTGCTCATGGTGAGGTTTTCCTCTGGCAGAAGGAGTCTTCCCCTGACTTGAGAGGCTCCTCTTGTGCTGGGACTTCTTAAGTTACAGGAAAGCATTCTTGCCACTGGAATTGATCCAGAGGGTCCCACCTCTTGCCTTCCTCTGCATTTCAGCTGCAGCTTCCTAGCCCCCTCCTTTTTTTGTTATCGAGTCACAGTTGACTTATGTTCAGAGGTGGTTTGCCATTGCCTGCCTCTGCATCACAACCCTGGTATTCCTGGGAGGTCTCTCAGGGCTGTTTGGTGAGAGCCATTTTGGTCTCGTGGTTAAGTGTGCAGACTCTAAACTGGGAGAACCAGGTTTGATTCCCCACTCCTCCACTTGCAGCTGCTGGTAAGACCTTGGTCAAGCCATAGTTCTGTCAGAGCTGTCCTTGAAAGAGCAGTTCTTGAAAGAGCTCTCTCAGCCCCACCTACCTCACAGGGTGTCTGTTGTGGGGAAGGGAAGGGAAAGGAGTTTGTAAGCCGCTCTGAGGCCGGAGTATAAATCCAATCTCTTCTTCTTCTTCTTCTCTCCCAAGATCTGACTAGCCTGGGCTATCCAGGTGATGCCCACCGGAAAATGGCACACCCTATTTTCTTTGCCTTGCTCACAAGTCAGCTGTTACTCAAAAGCAGGCTTCTGCTCAGAATGAGGACTTCCTTCTGCACATGGGAACCAGATGAGAAAAGGAGCTGACCCCCTGCCATCTCCACAGCCATACTGATGTATTCCACTTTGACTCCTTTCTCGTCTCTACCTTTATCCTCCCCTCTATCTCTGGGGCCTTTTGCAAAGCAGAGATACCCCCCCGTGCCCCCCCATTGATTAAAAATGTTGATAAATAAATATATATATTTATCTGAATCTCAAGTATGTATTTATTTATTCAATTTATACCCCCCCCCTCCCCGCCGATTTATTTATCCAATTTATACCCCACAGTATGTGGAGCAGAGCACAGGAAGTAAGGAATTAAGCAGAAAGTTGACAGGAAGGAGGAAAATTTAAAGAGACAGTAGCCCTGAGAACCCTCAATAGTGTTTTGACTGTCGGCAGTGGACAGCCTAGTGCTGTACATGTGTCAGACCTGGAAAAAAAAGAAAGAGAGGAAGGACACAGGGGAAAATACCAAAATGCACTTATTTGCCCATGATGTTGTTTGGATTCTCTGTTAAAACTGAGTGAACAAATCAAGGCAATTCTAGACTAAGCAGTCAGTATGGTAAGAAATATAAATGTGAATAATTAGTTTGATAATAAATATTGAAATTATACAGCCGTTATCCCAGATGCAAATATACACTCTATTTCAGGGGTCCCCAGCTTGTTGCCCATCTTTTTTGGTGCCCAGGCTGAGGTTGGGGATCCCTGCAGAACCTCTGGAATAACTGCAGAACCTTTGGAGCCAGTTTTTCTTTTCACCCTCTCTCTCTCTTTCTGCTCCATCCACCCACGTACATACAGTACAGTGAATCACACCCGGGAGATATCACACTTACCCAGTTCTTGAAGGTTCCCCTGGACCGACTCAATTTTCTTCTCATAGTATGTCTGAGATGAGGTAACATCATAAGCGATAGAGTCCACCTTCTTAAAAACTGCAAGGAAGATGTGAAGAGTGTGAGTACATTATTATCTGTGCCTTGAACTCAGGACTGTAACTCCACAATCATGGACTTACGTAGTTTGCCCCAAGTAACTCTTTTCAAAGGAATACACATTATTTGTCATCCCCCCTGACAATTACAAACACAACCTAAGAGCCTTAAAAACAGGCAAGTTGTGACTGTGCTAGATACAACTGGCTGCCATGAATTAATCCACAAAGTAGGGATGCCATCCTCCAGGTGGGACCTGGAGAATCCCCTGGAATTATACCTCACTTCAGGATGTCAGACATCAGTTTTCCTGGAAAAAATTGAATGCTTTGGAGGGTGGGCTCTATGGCGTACCCCACTGAAGTCCCTGTTCTCCCCAGGCTCCATCCCCAAATCTCCAGGGGTTTTCCAACCTGGATCAGGCCACCCTACTGCCCCATTCCCCACTGGTGGCCGGGGGGGAGCTGGTAACCCTACTACAGACTAAACAGACGGGAATCTTATCGGTCAAGTACCATTGCTAAACTCCTTTAATTTGCAACTGTGTATTTGCTCATTTATCCTCCCAGAAAGCCAGTGTGGTATAATGGTTAGAGTGTAATTAGGGTCTTGAAGATGTTGGTTTGAAACCCTTGCTGAGCGATCTTCACTGAATGACGGTGGGCCAGTTCTTCTCTCTCAGCCTAAGCCCACCTCCCATGGTTGTTGTGAGGACAGAGGAGAGGAGAGCCAGATATGCTGCTCTGAGCTCCTTGGAGGGAGGGTGGGACAGAAATGTGAAAACTGTGTTAATCATCCTGTTTAAGGCTGTTTTTACCCCCAAACTTCGTCAGCCTTTCTTCAAGGGTGGAGTCCCTCTTCCAGCCAAGGTCTAAACAGTGCTAAGCAGAGCAGAACTTGTTCTTACTCTTCTGTAAATACATCCCAAAAATAACATTTTCTTCTTCTGGCAACTGCCTGGTTTTGCTGAAGCATGTTTAGTTTGCATTCACCGTATCCCACCAGATTCTTCCAGCCAGCGGGTTAGCAGTTCCCTTACATTTTGTATTGTCCCACTGACATTTTGTATTGTCCCTTACATTTTGTATTGTCCTTGCTTACGTACAAATTTTGCCTGTAAGGAAATGAGGTGAAGATGACTTGCATGGATAAATGGAATGAAAGACACAAGGGATCATACATTATATCAAATCGAGGTTGTGGCAGATGTGCCGTTTGTATCAACTTTGTAGTGGTGAAAATCACTACAGTGGAAGACATCTACACTGGTCATTTTTCATGCAGATTGACTGACAGATTTCAAAGTTGGCTTCTGAATGTTGTTCCTAAGGGCCTGATACATTATGCTTTCCCCGGTGACATCCCCAGCTTGGGTGGAGAGGCCTGTTCTACAGATCCATGTTCCCCAGAGGCACTTGAGCCTGACTTGGATAATGAGCACGGCATGCAGAAAGAGGGGGCTGGAGAAAGAGGGGACCTTCCTCCTTGCCACTCTCCCCATTTGAAAAGGCCATGGGGTAGTATTTGCCCTGCTGTGGAAACGTAATGCATAGCTTCTCAGTACCTGTACAGCCCTCAATGGGACAAACAGTACCCACAGTGCAGCAGCAGCAGCCCCAGCAGCAGCAGAAGAAGAAATTGGATTTATACCCCAACCTTCACTCAGACTCTCTGAGAGGCATACAATCACCTTCCCTTCCTCTCCCCACAACAGATACCCTGTGAGGTAGGTGGGGCTGAGAGAGCTCTGAGAGAACTGTGACTGTCTCAAGGTCACCCAGTTGGCTGCATGTGGAGGAGTGGGGAATCAAACCTGGTTCTCCAGATTAGAGTCCGCCACTCCTAACCACTACACCAAACTGGCTCTCAATCGCCAATTCTGGGTTGGGCAATTCCTGGAGATTTTGGGGGTGGAGCCTAGGGAGGGCAAGCTGATGGGAGGGGGCTCAGCAGGTCATAATGCCATAGAGTCCACCCTTCAGAGCAGCCATTTTCTTCAGGGGAACTGATTTGTGTCATCTGGAGACAAGTTGTAGTTTTAGGAGATCTCCAGGCCCCATCTATAGGTTGGCACCCCTACCTCTTGTCTGTTTCAGGATACAAAACTGGAGCAGGAGGAAATTCTAAGCTCTCCTCTCTCCACATACCAAGGTCCTGATCCAAATTGGGTGTGTGCATGCCCAGGAAGCATGGAACTTCAGAACATCCCTGGCCACCTGGCTTGAGGACATCCCTAGGGAAAATGCACAGACGGGCCCTGACCAATGTTCCCTCTAAGCTGTGGAGTCTAGTGAGCAAAAATTCTACTTTGTGAGTTACTGGCATTAAAGTTGTGAGCGAGCGATCTGGCTACTGCATAAATTAGTTTGCTCTGGAGCAATCCTTCCTGAGCTAAGAGAAAAATGTGTGGGCCAGAAGCTAAAAAACTGTGAGCTAGCTCACACTAACTCAGCTTAGAGGGAACACTGCCTAACCTTCTGGGTTTTTTATCCAGGGTACAGCTGAAATCACACATGCATTGTCGAACACAGAGAGGTTGAAATGTGACTGAACATCAGCCGTGTCTTCAGTCGGTTCAGAAACCAGATACAAGGGGGGAATTAAGAACTGTTTTTCACACGTGCACACCAAGAGCAGAGGAAGCAATGAAAAGAGCTTTCAGGAGCATGCGTGAATTTAGCTTAGGGCTCCAATCTGGATATTCTGCAGGACAACTGGTACCTTATGAAACAGGCATGGACTTCATCATGTCCCTTCTTTCTGTGACAAAGCATGTGCTCTGTGTGTACAAGGTCCCCGGTTCCATCCCTGGCATCTCCAGATAAAAAGTTTTGTGCAGCAGGGTAATGGGAAACACGTGTCTCCGCCTGAGACCCTGGAGGGCTGTTGCCACTCAACAGAGCCAATGTTGAGATAAATAGACCCGTGATGGCAGGACTGTTTGCTATGTTCCTCCCACTGCCGAAAGAGATTCCTGTGAAGGGGCAGCATGTGATCACCGATATGGTGGGCAGTTTTTCAACACCTCCCCCCCCCCCGGCTTATTTTAACCCTGCTCCACCACCCTCCCATTCTTTCTCAGTCATCACACTCTGATGCATCTTCTGTTTTGCCAGTCTGTGTCTTGGCTGTCTTACCAGGTGTAAGTTGGACAGGCAAAGCTAATGCATTTGCTCCCCTGTTTCAGGCTCTGGCTTCCCTTGCCTCCCTTTTACATATTAATCTTCTCCATGAGGCAAGTCTGCCATCTTATATGTTTATTTATTATTATTTATTATCTTGAATATGCCAGTGGATTCCAGCAGGGTGCAGTGGTTAGAATGTCAGACTAGGATCTGGGAGACCCTCTGGCATGGAGACCTGCTGGGACCAGCCACTCTTGTTCAGCCTACCTCATAGGGTTGTTGTGGAGGAGGGAAGAATGATGTTGCAAGCCGCTTTGGATATGCAATGAGGAGAAAAGCCAGGTAGAAATATCTATAGAGACAGGCAAACAAAACCCCATGACCCAGCTACCAACATTCACATGCATATAGTCCTTGAACCTCTCTGCCAGCCAGGCTGCTTTCAGACATCACACTAGCTCATGGTTTATAAAATCCTGGTTCATTGTGATTTCTACATTCAGATGGCCAAACAAACTGGGGCTTGTAGCTGGTTTATTAACCACAGTTTGTGCTAACTGTAGGCTGCTGTGACATCTGAAATCATGAACCATCGTGTGTTGGCTGGCAATGTCCCTTGTAGCTGCTTGCAGAGAAAGCAGTAGAGGGAAGGAGTCTTCCCTGATGGGCAGAGGAGAGAAGGGAAAGTGGACACATTGAGGCTTATGGGATTTGTTACTTAGATAATCATGGTTTAAACAAACCACAGTTGACTCTTTGTGACAATCAATGCAGGCCAGAGCTCCTACCAGATTGGAAGGGCTATCAGGCTGGGTTCAGGGCTGTGCTATGCTAAGGAAATCCAAATTCTAGCTCCAACAAAAGACAAAATTCTGCAGCTTGAATAGACATTGCAAATGGAGGCTATTTGTATGTAATTATTAAGTTTTTGCCAGAGGGACAACATTTATATAGAACACTGATTACTGTCAATTAGTTTCTGAGTTTCAAGAAGCAACTCCCTGGACGAAAAGCCTTTGTGTGTGTGTATAGAGGACTAGAAACTTATTTTTTTACACTTCAATTCTCAGGATGCTAGTTTCCACATTCCATGTTTGCAACACAGGTGCCCTGATGACAGAAAGGTCAGGATCAGGCCATTTTGACAACGTGCCATTTCTGAATGGAAATTTGCTCAGAATTCCTGGCTGGGGCGTTGGTGACTCTCTCCGTCCATCCCTCCTCTATTTCCTCTCAGTGTAAATTTATAAGGTAGCAGCTTAGCCAGGGATTTCTTTCTCCTGTGCTCCAGCTTTAACTTCAATAGAAGCTCCACACGCAGCAGGAGAAGTTCCAAGCTGCCCGGGGGCTGCCAGCCACAGCTTGGCCGAACAAAGGCTAAGGGGGAGGGGGGGGAGAGCAAGAGCAAGAGAGAGCGGATGAAGATCTGGGAGGTGAATATTTCCTTGGGTGTGATTTCCATCCGGCATAGATCAGCAACAGCTCTCTAGAAATGGATTTAACAGCCTCGTCCATTCATAACAGCAAGTCTAGTCCAAGTATGACAGCTTAGTGGATTCCTGTGGCCTTTGTCATAGACAGCCAGCATGGGGGAGTGGTTAGAGTGTCATATTAGGATCCGGGAGACCTAGGTTCGAATCCCCGCTCTGCCACGGAGGCTTGCTGGGCGGCACATTCTCAGTCTGACCTACCTCACAGGGTAGTGGCTGTGAGGATTAAACGGAAGGCAGAATGATCATGTAAGATGTCTCGAGTCCCCACCAGTGTTCCCTCTCAGCTGAGTTAGTGTGAGCTAGCTCACAGTTTTTTAGCCTCTGGCTCACCCATTTTTGTCTTCACTCAGGAAGGATGGCTCCAGAGCAAACTAATTTATGCAGTAAAGAAATAGCTCGCTCACAATGTCAATGCCAGCAGCTCACAAAGTAGAATTTTTTGCTCACAAGACTCCACAGCTTAGAGGGAGCATTGGTCCCCATTGGAAAGAAAGAGGGGGTATAAATGCATCTCCCAGTTCACCTTTGCAAAGTTAGTTTCTATGCAAGAAGAGGACGCTGGTACAATTGCAAATGTACAGGTTGATCAGAGGGAAAGCAAACAGGCAGAGGAACAGATAGTGCTGGTTTTAAAGCAATATCCATTCTTCTCAGTGTGATGGCATACCTCTGGAACTGTCTCTATCACATTTTTATCCTGCTCTTTCTCCAAGGAGTTGAGGCCAGTCCATGATTCTTCCCTCCTCCATTTTGGTCTCACAACAACCCTGTAAGGTGAGTTATACTGAGAAAAAAACGACTGGCCCAAGGTCACCCACTAACTTTCATGGTGGAGGCCCTAACCGCATGATACCTTTCTCTCAGGTACATTTCTGGGTTGGGTGATGGGTCCTGTTCTTGGAGTCTATGCCTTCCAGGTGTATGCATGCCTCATTTGAATTGGACTGCAGTACACAGGGACTGGAGGGTTAAGCCTCCCCACACACACACACACTATTGTCCCTTCCTGAAATGGCCCTGGAGGGGTACTTGTTGCCTCACTGGGGGCTGCATGTGAATGGATGGGTTACAGATACGTTTCCCGAATGGACTGGGCTTGTGTTTGCCTTGGAGGCATGGACTCCCCAAACATGCCTGGCAACCTGACCTGGGGACATACTTGGGAAGAACTAGGGGTCATTTCCTGTGGGAGTGCACAGGAGCAGAGCTCCAGCAGTAAGGAGCCCAGGGGGTGGGCACATGCAACAAGCCCCGCCCCCTGCTCCCAGCAGCCCTCAGTCAGGCCACGAGGAGCAAGAAGCAGCCAGGTAAGTTGCAGAGCCCCCCCCCGGCCCGCCTTCAGATACAAGCTCTCCCTCCTCTGTGAGGGCAGATCGGCACGTTCCACCCCCTCCAATAGCTATCAATCTAAAACAGTCCAGTGGAGCCTGAGCGGTGGATGTTGCCTTCTGACATGCTTCCGGTGATGTCAGGGGGTGTGGCATATGCAAATAAGTTATGCTAATGAGCTCCTGCACTTCTTTTTCTACTAAAGGACCCCTGGGAAGAACGTTTTCTGTAGCGCGCGTGCACACGTGCGTGCCCCCCCCGGAGTGAGGATTTAAACCTGGTTCTACTCTGGTACTTAAACGATGAAACCACACTGGCGCACATCAGCTTCCTGTCAGCCTGCTCCAAGAAGTAAGTAAGTAGGCCTGGGAGCAGGATTACTTTGGCAGAAGGATTCTCACTCCTCAGCTGGAGTCCCTCCTTCCTCCCCTCCCACCTCTTACAGATCAGTTTTCATTAATGTGGTTACTTATAGGCAGGCTGTGAGCGTAAGACTGCTGACTACCAAATGGCAGTGATAATTTGGGGTGGGAATTGATAGGCTCAGGGCTGCTGAGAGTGACCAAGAGACCCCAGAGAAAGGTCCCGTGGGCCACCTCTGCTCATACCACCCACGGACTGTGTACGTCATATGTTTGTTTCCCTTTTGCAATCCAGTTCCTTGCATTTATATCTCATTTTTCCTCCACATCGCTCGGGGTAGTGTACTTGGTTCCCCTCCATTTTATCCTCATAGCAACCCTTTGAGGTAGGATACGGGGAGAGAAAAAAGAGAGACTGATAAATTTGAGGTGCAAGATCTGAGAAGACTTGCGCATAGACATTGCTCTCCCGTGAGTATGGGACTTTCTTTTAGCCATATTTCCTCAGGATACCTGGCAAGACTGATTCAGCCCCATCTTCATAGGGCTTTCATGCTAGCACGGTTCGACGTCCTTCCCTCAGCTGTTCTATCGGGAAGGTTCAACAAAATTCCCTATAAAGATAGATTGTGCCCCTGTGGGATGGGGGAAATCGAATCCATTGGACATGTGCTATTGTACTGTAAATTCCACTGTGACATCCGTGTTGTTTATATTGAACCTGTGTTGGACCCCCTTTTGGGCCAATCTGATGAGCATAAAATTAGTTCTTTATTGTCTTCGCATAATATAGAAATTCTGGAACCTGTAGCAAATTTCTTTTATGAGGTATCTAGGAGGAGAGGCTCATATTAAGGCAATTCGGGATGTGATATCCCTCCAGCCTATCTTGAGGCTCTATGCTGCATGTGTATTTGATATTTTATGCCAATAAAGGTATTGTATTTGTTATTTGACTGATAAATTCAAGGCTGCCCTCTGCTTCAGGTCTCTGAGCATGGGTCTGCCCAGTCCTGCACCAACACAACGCAGAATGATGGGAACATCAAGGCTGCCTTCTGTTCCAGCGCTCTGAACATGGATCTGCCCTAAGGTTGCCAGCTCTGGGCTGGGAAATACCTGGAGATTTGGAGGGGCGGAGCCTGGGGAGGGCGGGGCTTGAGGAGGGGAGAGGCCTCAGCATGGTGTGATGCCACAGAGTCCAGCCTCAAAAACAGCCGTTCCCTCCAGGGGAGCTGATCTTGGTCCTCCGGAGATTCACTGTAAGAGCAGATCTCCAGGTGCCGCCTGGAGGCTGGCAGCCCTCGTCTGCCCAGTTCCACACCAACACATGATGCTGAGAACAGGCAGTACTGACAGCGGCTGCCTAGCCCCTCCCCTCTTCTTCTCAAAAGGAATTTACGGACAACGGCCTATTGCCCCACTCCCAGGGCAATCGGGGCCCCTAGATTTTTGTCCCCCTAGTCCCCTTCTCCTGGAAAAGTTCTGCTGCAGTGTCTATCCTGGGGCCCCACTGTGAGGTCAGGAAGAAGCCTCATGAGCATGAAATCTTGGCTGCTTCCCCCAGGCCCCCTCTTCTGGTCTCCAGGAATTGCCCTCACTAGAAACAAGATCTCAAAGTAGTGTCTAAGCGGATAAAAAACCTTCCCGCCATAAGTTTGGGAACACAGAACTGGGCTGAGCGGTCTCTTTTATGCTGCCCATACAATGGCTGAGCTGCAAAATTCTCAGGTTTCTTGTGCAGAGCAACTGGACAGGTCCCAAACCTCAGGCCATTCTGCGCCAGGCCCACAACTACAGTCTGACTTTGGGGCACATGATCTCAAGAGGGGGGTGGTTTCTCTCTGCCCAAAATAACAGAGTGCAAAAGGCACATGCTGGATTTCTTCAAACAGCAGGAAGTCCTGTCCCAGACCAATAAACAGCTCTCAGGCCGGGCCACCAGTGGTTCCAATTATGCCAAGTGGTTGCGGGTGGTCTTAGCTTAGCCTCCGATAGAAGGACCTTCTTGGGGAGTCTGGTCGGAACTTGGATTCTCCAGCAGGCTGCTAGGTTAGCAAGCAAGAAGTTGCAGGCAGGGTTTAGATTCGCGGACAAAGCCTTCCAATGAAAAGCTCTTCTTTGGTGCAGACTGAACACTGAGAAGATGGAGAGGTTAGCTAAGGAAGGCAAAGCATTCCTTGCTCTCTTCTGACAGCAGTCAAGAACTGAATAACTTCCTCCGATAAAGATCTGTTCCCTGGGGCAAGGGTTCACACGTCAATGGGGGTCCAAAGATGTATCTTGGTGATAATTTATAAGCAGTGCCTGGCAAAAGGGGACATATTACCATAGGAACAAAGGGTCTATCAAGGAGCTTTCGCATATAAACTGGGTGAGAATCTCTTTAGTCTTTTGAGATTGTCTTGTATTGGGCCAGTTTGCCGGGCCATCTACCCCGGTATCCTCTGCTGCAGGGTTCCCCAACGTGCAAAACTCGGTGCCTGCTGAGCTTTTCAGAATGGCTTGTTATTGGCTGCCCTATTAAAATGAAGGGGGTTTCTATTGGAGTCTCAGGAGGACTAGTAAGCATCTGGGTTTTCCTTACTCAGGGTGCGGTTCCATTCCCTTTCCAGGCTTTCCTTCTTCCTAGGTGGTTTGTGGAGGGAGGTGTTCCGTTTGACTCCACCTCCTGTGGAAACCTTTTCGGAGGTGCTGCTAACCATCCTCTCTCAAAATCCCAAATGTTTCCACCGGCTCAAAAAGGTTGGGATTGCTGATCTACTGGGACTGGCTGCCATTCTTCAGAGTCTCTGGCGGGGAAAGGTGCATCTGAAAACCTGTTCCCTGGAAGCCTTTAAAACGGAGGGACCAAACCTGAGACGTTGGGCATGCAGGGCAGGCGCTGAGCTACAGGTGGACGTTAACCTGCTTGTCTTGTCACAAACTAATTCGATCTCTGGGGAAGGATGGTGTCTCATGGGTGGGTGCTGATGACCATGTTGTCATTGGCTGGAGGGAGCCCCTCCAAAGATGCTGTGAAATTAGTCTGTGAATGTATGCATGTGTGTCTCCTCTCTGGAAAACCATGGGAAAGTAACATGTTTTGCATTTGTTAGGCTGGTGCTCAGGATTCTGAACTCCTTCCGTAATCTTTTGACTTCTGAGTGTGGTTAGCCAGGTCTCTTCCTCCTCTGCTTTGCCTGGAATCCGATGCCAGAGGCCAAATAAACAAAGAGCCAAGAGGGGAGGGTCTAAATACACAACAGGCAACTCACCCAAGGCAGCCAATACAGCCACAACGATGATCAGCAAGACGACAAAGACGTACAGCACCTTCACAGACGTCTGGAGGGTCAAAGTCTTCTCACACTGGCTACAGTTGCTGGGGGGGGGGGAGGGAATGAGGCAAGGATGGAGAATCACTGTGTGTCAGAGTGCCGATTTATACACCCAGCATATCCATTTCACCCTGTGCTAGGTTTTACATTTTAGCTTTCCAAATACTGTTGGGAGTGTCACATGCCCTCTCCAGGAGAACCGATCACTGTTTGGAGTAGTTCTTGCTTTGAACCAGCCTCTTTGTAACATTCACCCTCCCCACGGTTCTGTTGCATATATAAATTGGCCTGATGAATGTACACCTCATGCATCTGATGAAGGGAGCTCTGACACGGCTGCCCACCTGGAATTTTGATCTAAACCCTGCACCTCAGCTTCCTCTAAGACATTGCAAGGGATATTGGGGATCCTCTCTTGGATCCTCTTGGACAGAAACCTCATTTCTGAATGCCCGTAGTGTTGCTTGTACCATCTGGAGTTAAGGTAAAGGTAAAGGTTCCCTTGCTCGAAAGCCAGTCAAATCTGACTCTAGGGTTGCGGTGCTCATCTCCGTTTCATAGCCGAAGAGCCAGCGCTATCCAAAGACATTTCCGTGGTCATGTGGCCAGTATGACTAAACACCAAGGTGCATGGAACGCTGTTACCTTCCCACCGAAGTGGTACCTATTTATCTACTTGCAATTTCTTGCTTTCAAACTGCTAGGTTGGCAGGAGCTGGAACTAGAGATGGGAGCTCACTCCATCATGTGGCACCCGGGTCTCGAACTGCTGAACTACTAACCTTCCATAGCCTGCAGTTCAGTGTCTCAACCACTTGAGCCACCGCAGCTCCTAACCATCTGGAGTTACTAGAACTCAATACAAGTATTATTCACTTGCTATCAAGCCAGTGGTAGAGCCAACGTGAGAAGGGGACTTCGTAAAAAGGCCAAGGGAAAAGAGAAAGATCTGTCTGAAATTTCTCACTCCTAGAATAAAGGAAATGAGCAAACAAAAGTGCCCTTACCATTTGGTCGGTATCTGAAGGATGGCATCTCGTCGTCTTCTCCAGTGAAGTCTTCTTCTAAAATACAAAATAAATAATTACAAAGTATAATGACCAATTAAAATTTATTTATTTATAGGATGCCATTAACTCCCCCCTTTAAAAAGACTTATCATTTTAACTGGACTTTGCTTTCTGGAGCACTATTACTAGTTTTGAAATCTATTGCTGAACTTTGTTCCTAGGTATGTGTTTATCTATACAATCTTATGCAGGGCTACTCCAGTGGGCTTAGACAGAAGGAACTCTGCATAGGATTGCATTGCAAATCTTTTATTTGCACCCCACTGTTTCTTGAAGGAGCTCGGGGCAGGGTACATAGCTTCCCCTGCCTCTGGTTTATCCTCACAACTACAACCCTGTGAGAGAGGTTAGTCAGAGAGAGAGTTTCAGAGGGTAGCCACCGTTGGTCTGCAGTAGAACTGCTAGAGACCAACAAGATTTTCAGGGGATAAGCTTTGACTCTTGAAAGCTTATACCCTGAAAATCTTTTTTTGTATTTTCATATGTGCGTGTGTGTGTGTATGCGTGTGTGTGCCTAGAAGTCATGGTGACCTCTGGTGACTGACCCCTACTGGGGGCCTCGAGGATATTCAGAGAGGTGGCTGAATAAAGCCTGCCCCCGCCTCCTGACTACTGGTATTTCAAGGAGGTCTCCCATCCAAGTACTTTAGCATACGAGATCTAACAAGATCTGGCTTGCCTGGGCTATCCAGGTCAGGGATATACCCCAAAAATCTTGTCAGTCTCTAAGGTGCTATTGGGCTTGAATCTAGATAGGCTGAGAGAGAATGACTGGCCCATGATCATCCATACCTCATGACAGAGTGAGAGTTTAAACCACGTTTTAAGGACATGTTTTAAAATGACCAGTTGTTTCCGTCTTTAAAACGCTAGTGAAGGAGCAAAACCAAAAGTAAGTTAGAGGATACATGGCCCTGAGTCAAACTGAGGCCCTAATAGCTAGACCCCACGAGTTTGCTCTTAATGGTGTCGTTTGATTTAGCTTAACATGGTTTTAATGTTCTGGTTTTATTGCATGTTGTGTTTAATGTCTTTAGAAAGAGAGGAGATAAAATAATTAGTACATTCAATAATCCAGGCTCTGCCCACTGCGGTACCAAATGAAAGACAATATGAAAAAGAGTGAGACGCAGTAGGGATGGGGAGAAGAAATGCAGGGGTGATCATGTCCACAGCTATGGCAATTTCAATACATGCTTTACAGTTTCCTGCCCTCTTAATTGCTGCACATGATTTCATGTTGTTTTCATTGCATAACACATGATCTAAACTCTGCAGTGTTTTTGCTGCCTTGGATGGTATGATTTTATTTTCTGTTTGTATTACTGATTTTATCAGTTTCAACTGTACATCATCACGAGACAGTTTAACAGAGCGGGATGGCAATAATGGTGATTTGGGGGTGTTTTGGAACTCACTGCGGCCGCGGAATTCTTTTTTTGGACCAGTTTTCTTCAGGCTCCTGGCCAGGAGTTTGGGGAAGCAGAGGACGGCCAAGTAGGGTGAATCTTCCTTTTTCTCTATGGGACACCCACATTTTTCGGACACTGTGGTTAGTTTCAGAGATTGGGCCACAGCAGGGATTTCCTTGCCAGCCACAAGCTGGGCATGCTGACAAAAGAATCACAGAGCTGGCAGGGACCTGGGCCATCGAGGAGTGAGGACAGATGCCAGATTTGAAGAGCAGTCACAGAGGGTTCTTCACCCTCAGGGTGAACCCAGCTTTGCAGCTTCCACTAGAGCTGACAGACATGCATTCTATCCAATCAGTCATTGGACAGACCCTCAGTCTTGCTCTTCCCCTGTTCACTTTTAATTTTTTATAGTGGCACATGGACATTGATCTGTATGTATACAATCATCTGTCTTATTGTGTCTTACTGGTGCTGCTTTATTGCAGATTTGCAGCCATACAGTACTGTGAAGTCAGCACAGACAGCTAGCTTCTGGCTCTATCTGATCTGCTATAATAATCTGAAGGACTCAGCAGTGAGGGAAACCTAAAACCACACTGGACATAGAAGATAAAATATTTGTTATTTCTAAGAACATTGCAAGTTCTGCTCTGCCTCTTCCTGCTAAGGTTTCTTTTGTAGATGCATAAAAACAGAAGCATCTATTGTGTTTTTCTCACAATGCACCTTACCAACGTAAAGTTTCACAAACAATTTTTTTAAAATTGTAAGACTACTCTGGGAGGGTTTGTGTGTGTGTGTCTGTGTGTGTGGCTGGGCACTAGCCAATAGGTGACCTCCAGGTGCTTAGACTGTGTGAGTCAGACCCTTTGTCTTTCAAGGTCAGTATTGTCTACCCTGGCTCTCCAAGGCCTCAGGCAGAGATCTTTTGCATCACCTACTGCATGGGCCTTTTAATTGGAGATGCCAGGGATTGAGCCTGGGACATTCTGCATGCAAAACAGATGCTCTAGCCACCAAGCTGTGTCTCTCCCTATGGAAATCCATGGCTTTTATTCTCAGAAACCAGGGGCAACTGAGGCTGGACTAGCACAGGCTTATATTGTGGCTGGTCTTAAGAACATAAGAAGAGTCCTGCTGGACCAGACCAGTGGTCCATCTAGTCCAGCACTCTGTCTCACACAGCCGCCAACCAGTTCCTCCAGAGGGCCAACAACAGGGCATGGAGGCCGAGACGTCCCCTTGATGTTGCCTCCTGGTTCTGGGAGGTTCCCCTCAGTCACCATGGCTAGTAGCCACCGATAGACCTACACTCCACGATTCTATCTAATCCCCTTTTAAAGCTGTTTATTCCTCTGGCCAATACTGCATCCTCTAGCAGCGAACTCCACAGCCAATACTGCATCCTCTAGCAGCGAACTCCACATTTTAATCAGTCTCTGTGTAAAGAAGTATTTCCTTTTTTGTCCATCCTGAACCTACTGCCCATCAGTTTCATGGGATGCTCTCAAGTTCTAGTATTTTGGGAGAAGGACAAAAAATTCCCTTTGTCAACTCTCTTCACCCCGTGCATAATTTTATAAACCCCTATCATGTCCCCCCTTAGTTGTCTGTTTTCTAAAGTGAAAAGTCCCAGACTCCTCAGCCTGTCCTCATAGGGAAGGTGCTCTAACCCCCTAATCATCTTGCTTGCCCTCCTCTGTACTTTTTCCAACTCTGTGATGTCCTTTTTGAGATAAGGTGACCAGAACTGTACACAGTACTCCAAATGAACTAGTTAAAGATGAATCTCAATCAAGGGTGGAGGAAAGAGGGAGAGAGGGAGAGAGAGGGCATCTATACTCTTACAACTATTGGATTAATTGAGAGAACTTCTGCTGGTTTTGCTTCTAGACTCTTAATTATAGGGAAGGGAGAAAGGGGCTAGATTCCAATTCTTCAGAACAGGACTGTTAATGACTTCCATTCCTTTATTTATTTTGTCTCAGAGCCTTTATCCGGCCACATGGCTCCATAAAGCCCTCAGGGCAGCTTAATATATACACACAAAAACAAAGAATAAAAACTTTGCATAACAAAACCAAACAGAGCTAAAATCTGATATCTTCAGTAACATAAATGATCAGCAGCAAACCACTTCCTAATTTTTTTTAAAAAAATCTCCATTACCAATTACATATCCAGACCAAATACCTCCTGGTCCTAAGAAGTCCTTCATGATCCCTTTAAAACTAAAAGCCCAGTTAGCCTTGAGAAGGGAGTTCCTAAACGGGGGTACACTACCACCACTGAAAAGGCCCTGCTTTTTTAAAATCCTTGCCAGTCTCACCTTAACTAGAGAAGGTTTTTGGAGCAAGGTTCCATCCTTTGATCTTAGCACTCAGGCCAGGGGCTGATAACAAGCAAAGGGGCTCCTAATGTAGGTTTTTCTCCCCAAATCCTGTAATTGCCAACCCCCTTTCCCCCAGATGAAAAGGAGAACCCCATCAATTGCTACTTCACCTATTATTACAGTGTTGACAGAAGCAGCAGCATTCAGCATGGCACAGGAGCGCTTTGACATGCTGAATTTGGGCAACCCCGTTCAGAACTGAGGCATGTTTTCCAGAGCCGGACTGATGACTTTGCCTTTCAGAGTGATGTTTTCCTAGGTGCAGGTGGCCTCCCGTTCCTCAGCAGCCCAGCTTTTCATGTGGGATTAGATCAGAACTACAAACAGGTATGCAAAGAGCCTTGCATGTGTTTCGGCATCTGAGAGGTTTCCTTAGATCAACAGATTCTAAAACTCCCAGTTCCCTCTACGTAAACAACAGAGGCTGCAAAACCAGGCGGAGAAGGGGGAGGGCATCCAGGTTCAAGTTATTTTCCAAAGCAGGAAAACGGCAGTCTAATTTTCCCTCTCTTTAGAGGACACACCACAGTAGAGCGAAACAAATATTTACCATCTGAGGGGATTATGATTGCCAGGTGAAAATGTCAAAAATAAGGGGCACCTTGGAGGTGTATGCAGAGGTTGATTCGGGGGGGATCGCGGGGGATCACAGTTCCCCCGGGTGAGGTGTGGGGGGCGGGGCACACTGCGAAGCCCCGCCCCCCGCTTCCAGCCGCCCCGCTTCCGGCCCTCATTCAGCCAGGAGGAGGCAGGAGAAGAGGGAGGGTAAGTTGCTTCCTCCCCACCTCTCCCCACCCCTGCCTGCCTGGGGCCAGGGAGGGCCTTGGCGGAGGTTCCTCGCACTCCCGCTGGCCTTGCAGGTCCACTGCTGGGCCTTATGATGTCAGGGTGTGTGGCATATGCTAATGAGTTATGCTAATTTACAGGGCTCTTTTTGTAGCAGGAACTCCTTTGCATATTAGGTCACTCCCCCTAATGTAGCCAATCCTCCAAGAACTTACAGAGCTCTTCTTACAGGAGCTACTGTAAGCTCTTGGAGGATTGGCTACATTAGGGGTGTGTCACTTAATATGCAAATGAGTACCTGCTACAAAAAAAGCCCTGATTAGCTCTTTTTCTACGAAATGACCCCTGGGTGTATGTGTGGTGGTGTTTCAGACTAGGGATGCTCATTAAGCTCTGTGAAA